CACCAAACTCAAACCCCCACATCAGCTAACCTTTGCTTTGCGTTCCGTTGGAACGGATTCGAAAATGCTTTGATTAGAAATATGAAGAAAGGGACAGATCATTCCCGCCTTCGAAATTCTCAAAAAAATATTTCTTCCCTGAAGAAAGGGGCACCCAGGTTTGAACCGGGGACCTCTCGATCTGTAGTCGAATGCTCTACCACTGTGATATACCCCCGTGTCTGCGAACCTTTGCTTTGTGCTGATTTGTGACGCCACTACTAGTAGGGAAAGATCGTCCTTCGCCTATGGAGCTTTCCTGATGCATTTGTTTGAACACTTTGTTATTAAACCAAACACATACTTACATGAAATTAAAAAGAAATTAATAAATTAATCTTTAAAATGGGTTTCATGTACATAAAGAATAAGCCAATTTAAATAACAATTGCAAGTATATGATTATAGATGTATTTACTACGAACGCATTGCGATGAACATAAACACATGTATTACATTGTAGCAAATTATAAGAGCCTTCTTTATTCGTATATTTATTTTTGAAGTTATACTTCTTTTTGGGCGTTAGGGAAAAAAGATGAGGGTAAATTTTTACGATGTGCGTGCATACCTTCACGACACCGTTGTCTAATATTTTAACATGCCACTTTTTTGGTGTTATGGGACTTATATTTGGGGGATCATAATAACTATTGTTATAAACCATATCTGTTGGGACGCATTCCCCCTCCCTCTACAGCTGTTTGGCCAATATCTCGGCACCCGAGTCTCACAGTCCATTCGTACTGGGCTTATTCGATCCCTCTCTATCTGTTCTTCCAGTTATTATAATTTCATGCTCATAGGGCTATTTGTTTCAAAGTTTTTAATTGTCTTGAACTTTTTAAATTTGTTTAAATTCACAATATCTTGGCTCTTGTTTGAGTCTCGGACTTGAGATTTGAACCAAGTGTTCTACTCGTCGAGACCCATCCATTCATCTGCTTCATTCCCACTGTGTAGGCATGGGGAATGTTTAAGCACTATAATATCATACTCCCATGTTAATCCTATGGGGACTAGAAAAAAGTT